AAACTGCCACCAGAGCACGGGTAAAGGAAGCTCCAGGTGGGTCAGAGGAGATGTGGCTGGGCCTCGAAGAAAGAATAGTGAGTTTCCAGGTAGCGATGGTGTAGAAGGGCATTCCAGGCAGAGGAGATGGCTTAGGAAAGGAACAGGAACATTGAAATGTATTGCGTCTTGGAGAAAGAGGAGGGTCTGTTGGGTCTGAGGCACAGGCGAATATGAGGGGAGAAAGACAGTGGAAGAAGAGGAAGGATAACATGGGCCCAGAGTTTGAAAGTTTTAATGTGTCTTGTAGCCAGTTTTACTTCATCCCACAGATAAGAGGGAACCATCATATGTTTTTGAAAGAGCAGAGTGATTAAAGAAATTTCCTTTGCAATGAGTTATTTTTTAAGGAAGTTGGACATTTGGAATGCAAAGAAACAAAGGCAGAAAAACCGATTATGAAACAAGGCGGGCTGGAAATGAAGACCAGCATGTATTTATTGAGAACCAGTGCTAGGTACATCTCTAAAGCTATATCTCTATTTTGAGTGTGGATCAGTTAACAGTATAGGCAGGGTTAAAAATTTAGGCGTGCTGGTAAATTAATGATAAAGTGCTAGTGGAGCTTACCGTTATGAATTGATAATCACATAGACTCATGGAATGTTAGCATGAGAAGAGTCTTTCGTGATCATCCATTGTGTTGGCCTCTTTAAAGGAATTTTATGTGTGTGTGTGTGAGGAAGATTGGCCCTGAGTTAACATCTGTTGCCAGTCTTCCTCTTTTTTTCTCCCCAAAGCTCTAGTACATAGTTGTATATCCTAGCTCTAGGTCATTCTAGTTCTTCTGTGTGGGATGCTGCCGCAGCTTGGCTTGATGAGCAGTGCATAGGTCCGTGCCCAGGATCCAAACTGGCAAACCCTGGGCCACCAAAGCAGAGTGCATGAACTTAACCACTTGGCCACAGAGCTGGCCCCAGGAATTCTTTATTGTTTGTTTTTTCTTTTTGGTAAGGGAGAATGGCCCTGAGCTAACGTCTGTTGCCAGTCTTCCTCCTTTCTTCTTTTTTGTTTCTCCCCAAAGCCCCGGTACGTAGTTGTGTATCTTAGCTGCAAGTCCTTCTAGTTCTTCCTTGTGGGATGCCTCCACAGCATGACTTGATGAGTGGTGTGTGGGTTCATGCCCAGGATCTGAACTGGCAAACGCTGGGCTGCTAAAGTGGAAGGTACAAACTTAACCGCTACACCACCAGGCCAGCCCCAGAAATTTTGTAAAGAAAGCAGCATGATAGTAGTTGTATTTTTAGGTTAATCAGTTGAGAAAATACAAGATAAAAAGCAGTTATTAAAGGCATTGTTCAATGTTTTCTTTAATTGCAGAAGCATGTACATGTATTTGAAAAATAGTGGCACACACATGTGAGATATTTTGTCTACAGACAGTATATAGCATAGTATTTTAGAACTCAAACTCTAGAATGAGAACCAAGTTTGAATCAATCGCTTGTTATAGTTAACTATAACTTTAGACAAGTCACTGGCGCATCTGTACATCAGTTTTCTCATCTATAAAATGTGAGTAGTAATAGGACCTACTTCATAGATCTGTCGTAGGGATTATAATTGAGTTAATATATGTAAAGAGCCGGAAACAGTACCTAATGCATTGTAAGTGCTATTGAAAGTGTTTACTATTATGATGATGCTGCTGTCTTGTCTAAATCGTGCAATAAGTCAGAGACCTCCTCCTGATAAGTATTTCTTCCATTGTTCTTATATTCTTATTCTGATGAATGATTATTGGGGTCTTTGAATAGTATGTTATTGAAAAGATATTGTTATTTTTAGGAATTTGTGTTCGCAGTTTTATTTCACCCTCTTTGAGATCTCTGCCCACCTCCTGTCAACACATGCCTTAGAGTTATCTTTCTCACCTGTGGTTCCTGGAGAGAATTAAGTCCTAATTCCCTACAGAATCCTTTAAATATAGTGAGTTAACCTCTCTCCTCTGCATCTGCAATGGTAATAATAATGTACCATTCTTTGGAGAATGGGAAAATAGTCACTCAAATGCTTTTTCTGTGGTTCAGATGAGGAACCCCAATTGTCAGAGGACAAGTAAATCAAACCATCTTGGCTGCTGTGTTTCATAGTAGTAATGATAATGGCTGTGGCTGCTTTCGTCTATCTCCCACAGTCTCCTTTGTATCTTTTTAAAATAGACTTTATTTTTCTAGAGCAGTTTTAGCTTCACAGCAAAATTAAGCAGAAGGTACAGAGATTTCCCATTGTATTTTTTTTTAATCTCTGTAGCCTTTATTATTAAGCATAAGGTCTGTCACCTAGATGAATAAATAAATATAGCATTTTCAAAATGGTTGGTGGTTTTTTGTTCTAAGAAATTCTTTCTTACAGTGGGATCTGTATTTTCTTCTATACATTTTAGAGTTTTGTCTTTCACATTTGGGTCTGTCATATGCCTGGAATTTGTTTTTCAGTTTGGTATGATTTAGAAACTTACTTCAGTTTTTTTTTTTCCTTTTTGCCATATGGGTTTGTCCAGCATTGTTTACTGAATAGTTAGTTCTCTTTTCCTCCAGTTAATTTTAATGTCATGTCTTCGCATCATTTTTTCTGTGTATGCCTACATCTGTGTCTGAATTCTCTTTTCTGTTTCTTTGATCGTTTTGTCTATCCTTGCATCAACACCAAACTGTCTTAATATTTTAGTTTTCCAATAATCTATAATATCTAGTAGGGTAAGTCCATTAACATTTTATAATGCTGTTTTTTCTCATTGTTCTTCCAAATATGTTTTAGAATCAGCTTGTCATGCCCCTTGAAAAACCTTGTTAGGATTTTCATTGAAATATATAGATTAATTAGGAGAGAGCTGACGTCTTTATGATGGCATTCATTGCTCACTGAATGTTTATATGGAGTACCTCTTGTATACTGGGAACTGGGAATACAGCAGTGAACAAAACTCAAATATCCATGGACTTGTGGAGCTTACATTGTAGTGGAAGGAAAGACTATAAACAAGAAGAAAAAAATTATATGCTCTGTTATTCATAATAGCCGAAAACTGGGAGCAATCTAAATGTCCATCAAATGTATATCCATACAGTGGAATACTACTCGGCAATAAAAAGTAACTATTTATACATGCAACAACACAGATGAATCTCAAAAATAGGTATAAGAAGCCACATGCAGTAGAATACGTGTTATATGATTCCATTTATGTGGAATTTCTACGAAAGGCAAAACTATAGCAACAGAAAGCAGGTCATTGGTTGCCTGGGGCTTGAAATGGCAATGAGGATTGATTGCAAAAGAGTATGAGGGAACTTTTTAGGTGATGGAAGTGTTCTAAAACTGGATTGTGGTGATCATTACACAACTATATAGATTTACTAAATCTTCAATTGTATACTTAGAATGGGCAAATTTTATGGTATCTAAGTTATACCTCAATAAAGCTGTTTAAAAGAATTCTTTTATGCCAACACAGATAAAGCTTGAAAACATGCTAAGTCACAAAGAAGCCAGTCACAAAATACCACATGTTGTATGATTCCATTTATGTAAAATATCCAGAACAGGGGCCAGGCCAGTGGCACAGTGGTTAAGTGCACACGTTCCGCTTCGGGGGCCCAGGGTTCACCGGTTCGGATCCCAGCTGCAGACATGGCACCACTTGGCAAGCCATGCTGTAGTAGGCATCCCACAAATAAAGTAGAGGAAGATGGGCACCGATGTTAGCTCAGGGCCAGTCTTCCTCAGCAAAAAAGAGGAGGATTTGCAGCAGATGTTAGCTCAGGGCTAATCTTCCTCAAAAAAAAAATCCAGAATGGACAAAGCTATAGAGATAGAAAGTAGATTGGTAGTTGCCTAGGTCTGAGGTGATCAAGAGGGAAATAGGGAGTGACTTGCTTATGGGTATGAAGTTTCTTTTTGGAGTGATGAAAACGTTCTAAAATTGTTGTGATGGTTGCACAACTTTCTAAATATACTAAAAACCATTGAATTGCATACCGTTTAAATGGGGGATTTTTATGGTATGTGAATTCTCTCAAAGCTGTTCTAGAAAATAAAATTATATGCTATATATGAAGGAGAATTAGGGGAGGGAGGTGGTGGGTGGTGGTGGTGAGGAAGGCCTCAATGAGAAGGTAACAATTGAACAAAGACTTGAAAGAGCTGAGGGGTTGAGCTGTCTGGATACCTGGAGAAGGAACTTTCTAGGAAGAGGGGATAATCAGTGAAAGATCCTGAGAAGGGAGTGTATCTGGCATGTTTGAGGAGCAGCAGTGAGGCCAGTGTGGCTGAAATAGAATGAGCAAGAGAGAAAGCAATAGGAGAAGAAGTTAGGAGATGGGATCATGTTAGGGCCACTGAAAGGAGTTTGCTTTTTACAATAAAGGAGATGGGAAGTCGCTGCAGAGTTTTGCGTAGAGGAGTGACATCTTCTGACATAGGTTTTTAACAGTGGCTGCTGTGCTGAAAATAAACTGAAAGGTAGCATGGATGGAAGCAGGGAAACCCATTAGAAGGCAGCAGTCTAGGAGAGAGAGAAAAGTGACTTGGACCAAGGTTGAAGAAAAAAGTGGTCAAATTCTGAATATATTTTGAAGGAAGAAGCAGCAAGATTTGCTTGACAGATTGGAGATGAGATGTGAGAGGAAGAGAAGAGTCAAAGAAGATCTGTATTTTTTGGCCAGAGAAGCTGAGAGGGGGAAGATGTAGGGGAAATGCCAGGAGTTCTGTTTTTGAGTGTTAGAGAAGCTCCTCAGACATTGAAGGAGAGATCTGAGTAAGCAAATTGGATTTCTAAATCTGGAGTGGAGGGAAGAAGTCCTCAAGTAAAGATTGTATTTAAAGCTGCGAGTCCTCCAGCCCACCAACACTGTACTTAGTAAGACTAGACTTTATTTCCCTCAAGATAAACTTTTAAAAATTGTTAACCTTCCCCTGCCTCCAAAGAGAATAAATACGTTAATTTTCTTCTATTTCAGGATCTTCAAGATGAAGTTCAAAGGGAGAATACTAATCTGCAAAAACTACAGGCGCAGAAACAGCAAGTACAGGAACTCCTTGATGGACTGGATGAGCAGAAAGCCCAGCTGGAGGAGCAACTCAAGGAAGTCAGAAAGAAATGTGCTGAGGAGGCCCAGCTGGTAAAGTCTGGCTGATGATTGCCGTCTGTGTCTATGCCTTAGTTGCTTTTCCTGACTTAAGATGGAAACATTCTCTGCTGCTTGTTGTCGTTAGGTGGCAGGTCTGGTCAACAGTTTGGGCACATGAAGGAAATGGAGCATGGTTCATCCAGAAATTACAGGCCCTCTTTAGGGGAAATAGGGCACTTAATGTGCTATTTTTCCAAATTTTAGTTGGAAGTACGGTATATCACGCCTTCTACTCTCCTCTAACTGTCCCCTAATTGCCCTTTTCTACCAAAAAATATGCATCGAAAAACACTAAAATAGTAAACTAAACAAATATAAAAATATTGCATTATGGAACATGTTAATGACATTTCTTTTTTTAATCCCCCTTTCTTCCAATTTACCTCCATATTACAGATCTCATCTCTGAAAGCTGAATTAACTAGTCAAGAATCGCAGATCTCCACTTATGAAGAAGAGCTGGCCAAAGCTAGGGAAGAGCTGAATCGCCTACAACAAGAGACGGCAGAACTGGAGGAGAGTGTGGAGTCAGGGAAGGCTCAGCTGGGACCTCTTCAGCAGCACCTGCAAGATTCACAGCAGGAAATCAGTTCAGTAAGTCTTTGTGGCAGCAAGAAATACACTCAAATGGGCTCTCATGTGTCCTTTTAGTAAATAATACTTCCTCAACTTTTCCTTCTTCTCCCTCTGCCTAGTTTATTATTCATTTTTTCAGTCATTTTATACAAAAATAGGTTTCTTGTCGCCTGTTGTGAGTTAAAACTATCATACACTTGTACATCTGATGATTATCATTGGAGTCATGGTTAAGAGTGTAGGCTTGGGGCCGGCCCCGTGGCCGAGTGGTTAAGTTCACGCACTCCGCTTCTGCCACCCAGGGTTTCGCTAGTTCAGATCCTGGGCGCGGGCATGACACCACTCGTTAGGCCATGCTGAGGCGGTGTCCCACATGCCACAACTAGAAGGACTCACAACTAAATTATACAACTATGTACTGGGGGGATTTGGGGAGAAAAAGCAGAAGGAAAAAAAAAAGTGTGGGCTTTATAGTTAGATGGTTTAGGTTTAAGTGCTGGCTCTGCCACTTACTGCCTGAATTATCTTAGTATCAGATTCCTCATCTTTGAAAGTGGAGCGTGAACAGCACCCTACCTCCTAGTGCTGCTGCAGGGATTAAATGAGGCAAAACCTGTGAGACATTTTAGCATAGTTTGGTATATAAATGCTCAGTAAGTAATGCTTATTTTTATAAATAATAATGTGATGTCTTCCTTTTTGTGTTCTAATCCTAAAAGTAATTTTGCTCATGAAAAACTTTATTTTTTTTAATTAGGAAATTGTTCTTTATACAGATAAATGTGCAGTATTGTGGTGGGTCCAGAGGATAGATTCTTTGCTTTGTTATTTCTAGGCTTTCCTAAATGGAGAATAATATTTTGTAGAATGATGGTTAGATAGAAGCAAAGAGATCATGTAGTCCATTCCTTTCATTTTGAATTTGAATAGACTGAAGCAAAGGAAGGTTAAGTAACTTGCCTATGGTTACATACCCTTTTTTTTTTTATTAATTTTTTTTGAGGAAGATTTGCCCTGAGCTAACGTCTACTGCCAATCTTCCTCTTTTTGCTGAGGAAGACTGGCCCTGAGTTAACATCTGCACCCATCTTCCTCTACTTTATATGTGGGATGCCTACCACAGCATGGCTTGACAAGTAGTGTGTAGGTCTGCACACGGGATCTGACCTGGTGAACCCTGGGCCACGGAAGCAGAACGTGTGAACTTAACCACTGTGCCACTGGGCTGGCCCCATTATGTACCCTTTAAAAGAGCCACAGCCTAGAATCCAGTTCTTCTCAAACCTAGTCCAGTGTTCTCAGTTAATTATTATATATAATGAAGTCCTTCCCCTCGATATGCTTCCTTCCTCCCTCTTGTGTAGCAGATGAATACCTACTCACTCATCTTGCAAGACGTAGCTTAACTTCTTATTTCTGTATGGCATTTTTTGAATGCGGCCTTTATTGGACTCTATACTTCTGTTCTAGCAACAGTAACGTTTTTCCTTGTACATTTGTTTATGTGTCTACCTCCCTCAGCCAACTGAGCTTTTTGGTCTAGGAACTTCAACATTTTTTTTATCTCTATCATTTAGCGCAGGTTCCTGTGCAGGTGTAGAGCTACTCAATAAACACATAACCCAAAAGAAAGTTATCCTAGTGGGAATGCTACCAGATGAATGGATATTCTTTAACATAGTTTTCTTCTTTGAATTTTTAAGAAAACTGTATTTTTTGAGGTATAATTTACATACCATAAAATTCACAGGTTTTAAGGGTACAGTTCAGTGATTTTCAGTAAATTTAGAGTTGTTCAAACATCACAATTCAGTTTTAGAACATTTCTAAGACTCCCAAAAGATCCATTGTGCCCATTAGTAGTCAGTCCCTACTCCTACCCCTAGGTAACTACTAATATGCTGTCTGTTTCTATAAGCTTGCCTTTTCTGAGCACTTCATGTAGATGAACTCAGACACTATGTAGTCTTTCTAATGTGGTTTCTTTCACTTAAGGCAATATTTTGAGGCTCATCCATTTTGTAGCATATATTAACATTATGTTACATTCTATGTTTATAAAGTATTCTGTTTATTCATTCACCAGTTAATGGGGATTTGGATTCTTTCTACTTGTTGGTTATTATGAATACCACTATGAACATTTACATACAATTCTTTATGTGGATTTATGTTTTCATTTCTCTTGGTTATATTTAACTTTTTTGAATTTTAAATTCCAAACTGTTTTCCAAAGTGGCTGGACCATTTTACATTCCCTCTAGCAATATAAGAGGGTTCCAGTCTCTCGTCATTCTTACCAGCACTTTTCTTGTTTGTCTTTTCACCTGTAGTCATTCTAATAGGTGTAAAGTGGTATCTCATAGCATTTTTGATGTGCATTTCTCTAATGACTAGTGATGTTGAACATCTTTTCATGTGCTTGTTAGCCATGTGTATCCTCTTGTATGAAATGTCTGTCTTTTGCCCATTTTTAAAAATTGGGTTGTCTTATTATTATTAAATTACAAGAGTTTTTAAAAAATATATTCTGGGTGTAAGTCCTTTATCAGATATTTGATTTGCAAATAATTTCTCCCAATCTCTGGCTTGTCTTTTCCTTTTCTTTTCTTTGACTTTTTTTGAAAGGGCACTTCTTTCAAAGGAAGGAGTATAAATGAGAAAGTAGAAAGGACTCTGGGTATTATAAATTATCACAGAGAAATTAAAACAGTGTTTGAGAGCTAGGAAAATAGCCTCAGCAAACTATACTACCAAGTATGTTTGGTATCCTTGTGTCTTATCTCCAAACCTTGAGAATAAACGTACCGATTTCTTATATTTGACTCAGTGACTTATGTGTCTTTCCCACAGAGGGCAGTATATTCCCATGGGTCTATAAACATGAAAGTCCAATTGTAAATTAAACAGAGACTTTTATTGCTCTTTAAAGCTCTAAATTATAGCTTTTCTGCAAAAAGGAATAACTAAAGAAAATTTTTCTGACTTGCTGAATCTTCATCTTTACTTTTTATCATGTATTTGCAGCAAGGAAAAAAGCAAAGAACCTCTGACACTATGTTTATACAATGTATACTACTTTTATTCAAGTATTCATGGCATTCTAATAGTTATTGCACTTCTCTTGCACAATTTGCAAAGAGCTTGTGTTAGTTGCTTGGTTTATTTTTCTGTATCCTCTTAAGTTTACACAGAGACTAAGGAAGAACACAGGCTTAGTGACAGGTGTGTGAGAGAGCCAGACACAAGAAACCCTAGTTTTGTTCAAGATTCTGTTGATTATCTCAGAAACAACTTTAAGGGACAAACTGTCCTAAATAGAACTATTTGATAGGCAAGTATTTCTACTTACTGCTTCACCTCTATGATGGGTATTATTTTAGTGTTAAGCTTTTAAAATTTAGATTGCAGGATTGTACAGATACTGAAATTGATTTAACGGTCATGATAAAAAAAATTTTTAATGAAATAAGAGAAAATAGGAAACATCAGAGTGCATTATATACAGTAAGGATAAATATTACTTCATGAAACTTGTTTCACCACTGTGCATGTATGTGTGTGTATAATTATATATATGCATGTGTGTGTCTTTATTATATGTGTGTGTTGATGTATACACACACACATACAGAGGCACATCCAAATATATACATTATATATATTTACTGGGTTAGGATGTAAAATCTGTTTCTTTTCTATAGATTATAGTAAAAAAAAATGTTTTCAAGCCACAGCTCTATAGCTCTAAGAATATATAAGGCATATGCTCTGTTACAAATGTGTAGTATTTTTGGATTGTTAGTTTGAATTCTAAATACACTGCAGTTTGGTAGATATATATGCTTACTGATACCCACTGTTTAAATTTATAAGCACAATACTTGTGTTCATTCAGTGAACATATATTGAGGACTTATAGGGTACAGCATTGTGCTGGATGTTGGAAATAACAAAGTTGATAACAAAAGCTGTGGTCCCTACCCTCAAAGAGCTCAAGGTCTTTAACTTTTTAAAAACGGAGTGAATTAGTGGAAAAGGAACAGAGGAAAACTTAATTGTTATAATAGTGAAAAATGCAGTGTGCTAGGGAAGCACTTTTACATGCATTATCCACCATTTCCATGCATTGACTTTTTCCATTTTACACTGTTCTTTTTGTTTCACATAACAATAATCTGTGGAGATAGTTCTTATTCCCTTTATGGATTAAGAAATGGAGGCTAGGAGAGGTTACTTTGACTAAGATTACCTAACTAGAAGATGACAGAGCTACATTTACATCTCTCTCTCTCAATCCAGTATAGCGTCATTTCCCCAGGTTATAACCCTAAAAAGACCTATGATAAATTACAGATTCCAAATTAAGCAACTTAAAAACCTTGTGGGGAAAATAAGATTAGGGAAACAGAGCCTTGATTTATGAAATGTCAATAGGTAATTTTTATGTTTGCTGAAAACAAAAAACACAGCATGCTAATAAAAGGGAATTCCAATGTAATTAAAAATATGTATTTTATGAAAAATGAGAACTATTCAGTAAAATTCCATTTATTATTCTTTTTCACTGGAAACATTTTATCATTCTGCCTTCTCTTCAGTTTCTTTGAGATATTTGTAAATTTGTTTTTCTTTATTATAGCTGTTGGTATAAATAAGCATTTTTTTCCTCCATCTGATTCCCAACATTTTTCTTTTTATATATATTACAGTTTATTGAATCCTGCCTTCTGTGTCCCACTATTGTCCCAAGAGTATAAAGCCACTTGGATATTGGGATCAAAAAAACTTTGAGTGTTCTGGCTGGCCCCATGGCCGAGTGGTTAAGTTTGCGTGCTCCGCTGCAGGTGGCCCAGTGTTTCATCAGTTCAAATCCTGGGTGCGGACATGGCACCGCTTGTCAAACCACGCTGGGGTGGCACCCCACATTCCACAACTAGAAGGACCCACAACTAAGAACGTACAACTATGTACCGGGGGGCTTTGGGGAGAAAAAGGAAAAAAATAAAATCTAAAAAAAAAAAAAACCAAACAAACAAAAACTTTGTTCTTTATTTAACGTTTGGTATAGCTTAGATTTAGTGGACACTTCCTAGGGCTCTAGTCCATTAATAAATAATGCCAGAGCATAGGTCACTAGCTCATTTTACCTTCTCTTTACTCCTCAACTTCCTTTATCTCTCCTAAAGCTTCATCACAAAATCTTCTCTTGCTTTGTCACTTTGCTGTTTTTTCCCCAATACCCTGACCCTTTTTCTTAATTATACCCTAAGGGACTGCCAGTATACAGATAATTGAATTAAAATTCTTGGAGCTTTCAAAAGATGTACAAAAGCAAATCCATGTATACTGGGATGGATTACTGAAATCTTTTCTGTGAGTCATGCTGCGTTCCCAGAGGATTCTCCTTAATGGAAGCAAATTTATCCACGATCAAGTCTAACGGTATAGCCATTTTTATGTTGCCTGTCTTTCTAGTAATAAATCCTGTTTTGTATGTCTGCTTTGTGTTGACAGATGCAAATGAAACTGATGGAAATGAAAGAACTGGAAAACCATAATAATCAATTAAATTGGTGCAGTAGCCCACACAGTATTCTTGTAAATGGCGCTACAGATTATTGCAGCCTCAGCACCAGCAGCAGTGAAACAGCCAACCTTAATGAGCACGCTGAAGGCCACACCAACCTAGAGTCTGAGCCCATCCACCAGGAGTCTCCAGTGAGTCGAATAGTGCCATAACCTTCATAATCAACTGCAGTGAGCAGCCATTGAAGAATTTTAAGCAAGAAGTGGCAGGATTACATTTACCTTTTAGAAAATGGATTAGAGAGTGGAACTAGACACATAGAGACATGTTAAGAGACTATTGGAATGGTCTCTGTGAGAGTTGTTTTAGCCTAAGCTTAAGTGGTAACAGGCGGGATGATGAGAAGAATACAAGTTTCAGGGATATCAAAGATATAAAATTAAAAGACATGATTTTATTTAGGCAGTGCAGTCTTGATACATTATACAATATTCTTTTAAGCACAAAAGGCAAATTGCTAGGTTATCCTTCAAAGACACAGGGTGATAGGAAATGAGGATTTCCTCTGCCACTTCTTAAGCCTTTATTACCTACAGGGCTAAATCCAGAAAGTAATGGGAAGCCATGGAAGGATTTTTAACCTGAAGAGTCATGATCACATTCACATTTTAGATCTATTACTTTGGCTTCCGTAAGGAGGCTAGATGGGAAGGGCACATATTGCAGGCAGGGAGGCAATTGGAAGGTTACTACAGTAATCTGGACCAGAAATGATACTGTAAATAGATGACAGTGACAGTGGGGATGGAGAAGAAGGGAAGGATTTGAGAAAGAGGTAGGAGGTAGGCTCAGCATGACTTGGAGGCTAACTGAGGGAATGACCAAAGGGAAGTGGTTAAAGATGACCTGGATTTTCCAGCCTCAGTGACCTCAATGCTGGGTGATAGCATTTTTCTAAGAAAAATTTTAGAACTCTTATGTTCTGCTTGTCTTTTTTTATTTTTTAGTAATTTTTGGTTATCCTTTGTCAGTTTTCTCTGCCAGGTAGAAAATACAATGTTAGTCCATGTAGCGTTAATATTTTGTAGGCAAGAAGTAGTCCTGAAATACCACCTTCTGGTGTGACTGATGAAAATGAAGTGGTGACTGCAGCTGTTAATGAAAAAGTTTGTCCTGAATTTAACAGTGACAGACATTCGAAAGAGGTAAAAATAATTTTGTATGTCAATGTTCCTATCACTGGTTTCCCTAGATGGGTTATTCTATTTCAAGCTAAGGAAAGAGAAAAATGTGTTATGTGGACTTTATGACTACAGAAATATGTGTTATAATACTATCATTTGATTTTTCAAAGCTTGTTATTTTATTTTAAAATGTTACGTTTTGAAACTTTGTTTCCTAAAACAATATTTTTTAATTTAAAATTATTTTTAGGAAGATCCATTTAATGTAGAATCAAGTTCACTGACAGATCCCGTTGCAGATACAAACTTGGATTTTTTCCAATCTGATCCTTTTGTTGGCAGTAAGTACTCTTATTTTTATATCATATATTTGCAAAAAGAGAATTTTTTTTTTCATTTTTTTTTTATTGAGTTATTGATAGGTTACAGTCTTGTGAAATTTCAATTGTACATTAATGTTTATCAGTCATGTTGTAGGTGCACCACTTCACCCTTTGTGCCCACCCCCCACCCCACCTTTCCCCTGGTATCCACTAAACTGTTCTTGGTCCATAGTTTTAAATTCCTCATATGAGTGGAGTCATACACAGATTATCTTTCTCTTGCTGGCTTATTTCACTCAACATAATTCTCTCAAGGTCCATCCGTGTTATTGCAAATGGAATGATTTTGTTCTGTTTTGCAGCTGAGTAGTATTCCATTGTATATATGTACCACATCTTCTTTATCCATTCGTCTGTTGATGGGCACTTAGGTTGCTTCCACGTCTTGGCTATTGTAAACAGTGCTGCAATAAACATTGGGGTGCACAGGACTTTTGGGATTGCTGACTTCAGGCTCTTTGGATAGATACCCAGTAGTGGGATGGCTGGATCGTATGGTAGTTCTATTTTTAGTTTTTTGAGGAATCTCCATACTGTTTTCCATAGTGGCTGCACCAGTTTGCATTCCCACCAGCAGTGTATGAGGGTTCCTTTTTCTACGCAACCTCTCCAACATTTATTGCTATTAGTTTTAGATATTTTTGTCATTCTAACGGGTGTAAGGTGATATCTTAGTGTAGTTTTGATTTGCATTTCCCTGATGATCAGCGATGATGAGCATCTTTTCATGTGCCTATTGGCCATCCGTATATCTTCTTTGGAGAAATGTCTGTTCATGTCTCCAGCCCATTGCAAAAAGAGAATTTTTAATATATAAATTGTATAAGAATTAAGGCTTCTGTTTTGAGAGCCTACTTGTTATAACAAAAGTAGAGTGGAGTTGCTAGTATTTGTCCTCTTCAGGCAACTAAATCCTGGGACTCAGCCTTTGATTATGTCTTAGGAGCCCCTGATTAAGGATATGTTTCTTCTTCAGAATAAGGACCAAAAGAAAGGTATTAGGGACCAGAAGAGGAGATTGGGCCCTCTTAAGTCAACCAGCAATTATTTACTTAAAAGTACCAATACCATGGTTTTGAAACAGTGAAAGTCAGAGTATTTCTCTGGTCCCTGCCCTTAAGCTGCCTACGGTCTTATTGAAGAAATGTAATTTAGTAAGTTAAAATATCTGATGTCAGTGTAAACTGTGTTAAATATCACTTGTGTCAAAGCTCTTTTTGCATTTTTTTATTTACAAAATCAATTTGTGAAACTGATAAGTCAGTTTATATCAGTTTTAAAGATGGGAAACTGAGGCACATAGATAAAATAACTTGCTTAGAGTCATGGCAGAAATGAGTCTAGATATTAGAACTCTTTTTTAAAAAATCTTAATTGAGATATATAAAGTGTTAAAAGATATATTAAATTGTACACGTACATCACATGTATATCACAGAGTTGTATAATCACCAAAATCTAATTTTAGAATGTTTTTTATCACCCCATAAAGCAACTCCATACCAATTAGAAGTCACTTCCCATTCTCCTAACCTGTAGCTCTAGGCAACCATTAATCTACTTTCTGTTTCTGTAGATTTGCCTATTTATGGAATTATACAGTGTGTTATCTTTTACATCTGGCTTCTTTCACTTGCTATAATATTTTCAAGATTCACTTGTGTTGTATGTTTCCGTACTTCATTCCTTTTTATTGATGAATAATATTCCATTGGATGGATATTTCACATTTTACTTACTCATTGGTTGAGGGACATCTGGGTTGTTTCCACTTTTTTGGCTGTTGTGAATAATGTTGCTATGAACATTTATGTACAAGTTTTTGCGTGGATATATGTTTTTCTTTCTCCTGATTATATATCAGTTCATACGGTAACTCTGTGTTTATCATTTGAGGGACACCAGACTGTTTTTCAAAGTGTTTGTACCACTTACATTCCTACCAGAAGTGTATGTGGGTTGCAGATTCTCCTTATCCTCACCAACACTTGTCATCTATCCTTTTGGTGGTAGCCATCCTAGTGGGTATGAGGTAGTATCTCACTGTGAGTTTGATTGGTATTTCTCTAATGACTAACGTTGTTGAGCATCTTTCTATGTGCTTTTTGGCCATTCATATATTCTTTGAAGAAATGTTTATTCAAATAATTTGCCCACTTTTTAATTGGGAAGTCTGACTTGTTATTTTTGACTTGTAAGAGTTTTTTACATGTTCTGAATACAAGACCCCTATCAAATATATGATTTGCAAATATTTTCTTGTATTTTGTGTTGTTTTAATTTTGATGAAGTCCAGTTTATCTATTTTTTCTTTTGTCACTGCGCTTTTGATGTCACATCTAAAATCCAAAGTCGTGAAGATTTGCCGTTATGGTTTCTTCTGAGTTTAGTAGTTTTAGCTGTTACATTTAGATCTTTGATCCATTTTGAATTACTTTTGGTATATGGTGTGAGATAGGGGTCCAACTTTATTTTTATTCTTTTGCATATAGATATCCAGTTTTCCCAGCACCATTTGTTGAAAAGACTGTTCTTTCCCTTTTGAATTTTCTTAGCACTCTCGTCAAAAATCAAATGACCATAAATGGAAGGGTGTGTTTCAGACTCTTCAATTCTGTAAGAGTTTTTTTTTTACTTCAGTGAGTCTCAGCATCTTTCGTTTCTGAAGTGGTGATGGTAATACCCATCCATTACTCTTGTGAAGGGTAGAGATTTTTGTTAGTAAAATTCTTGCTCTTGTGCTTGTCTTTTCCCTTCCATCTGGAACCTCAGATTGTGATCAAAGGGTAAGTATAATTAAATTTTGACTCAAATTAAATGTTGCCTCTTTTATGAGGTGTGTTGATGTTCTGTCTTTATTCTTTATTATTTAAGTATTTCCTGGAGGTAGATGACATTCATTGTTTCATATGCTTTGATAGAGTTAGTGAAACAAACTTTGCTCTGAGAAACTTTGCTTTTGTTTTAAAGTTACCCTTTCAGTAATGGTGTCACAGCAGTGAATATTGTTATTTTGATTTCTGCTTATTTATTTTATCACAGGTGATCCTTTCAAAGATGATCCTTTTGGGAAAATTGGTTAGTATACTTTTGGAAAAATTAGTCACTATATTATTGAGGTCCATGTAGTTTTAGTCTGGTTCTGCTTAATTATAAACTTTTGTTGTATTTAGGAATGAGAGATCACAGTTGGGTAGTTACAGGAAATGGACTACCTTTTTATTCAGTTTTGAAACTGATCTAAGGCCCCACTTGATGTTGTATGTGGTATTTTCAGAAAGTGGTAGATTCTTGTGAATTTGCTTTGTAAACTGTCAGTTTTACTCTTTTAAAAACGACGTTAGTGTTTATACTTTGATGCTTTTAATAATATTTAGACTGATTTCTCCTTGTTAGCCAAGGATTAAATGAGTATAACGATCTACACTACTTCAGGGTTTAGAACTTCTGTTTTCCTAAGCTTACAGCCTATTCATATGAATGAGGGAAAAGGAAACATCTTAAAGAATTACTATATGTCAGACTTTTTAAGATACTCTTTCTCTGGAATTTTTGTGTTAGAATAAAGCAAATCTTGTGTACCATTTAGTTATGCTTCCCAAACCAGTTCCAAACTATTGACCATTTCCCTTCAGCTCAGGGAGAGAAATACAATTAGAACTTTTTGTTGTTGTTTCCTTAGTTGTGATAGCATGGAATAAGGGTTTTAAAATGGGACCCCATGGCGCTGGCCCCATGGCCGAGTGGTTAAGTTTGCGTGCTCCACTTTGGCGGCCTGGAGTTTTGCTGGTTTGGATCCTGGGTGCAGACATGGCACTGCTCGTCAGACCACACTGAGGCGGCGTCCCACATGCCACAACTAGAAGGACCCACAACTAAAATATATAACTATGTACTGCGGGATTTGGGGAGAAAAAAATAATTTTTTTAAATTAAAATGGGACCCCTTGAAATTATATGCTAATTAAAAAAAATAAGTTTATTAGGTGAAAGACTCTGTATCTTTTATCAAAGCCACAAAGGAATCTGTGATCCCCACCCAAAATTAGAATTACCAGCTTAGAGGAATTATTAAACCTAGCACACAGGTAACATTTGAGTAGTAAGTGTTGGAATTATTGATTTGCTTTGGGTTAACGATGACCAAGTAGGAAAGAATGTTCATTAAAACCATTTAGGGCCAGCCACGGTGGCTTAGTGGTTAAGTTGGATGTGCTCCGCTTCAGCGCCCCAGGTTTGGATCCCAGGTGTGGATCTACGCGACTCGTCTGTCAGTGGCCATGCTGTGACAGTGGCTCACATACAAAAAGAAAAAAAAAGAGGCCAGCCCCAGTGGCGTAGTGGTTAAGTTTGGTTTGCTCTGATTTGTTGGCCCGGGGTCAGTTCCTAGGCATAGACCTAAACCACCTGCCTGTCAGTGGCCTTGCTCTGGCAGCAGCTCACATACAAAAAAAAAAAAAAAGAGGAAAATTGGCAGCGGATGTTAGCTCAGGGTGAATCTTCCTCAACAAGAACAAAAAGACCTATGTAACTAGGTGCAACTGTCTCTACTTTTTTTATGATTAATAGTCATAATAAAAGCACCTTAGATTCTGCAGGAGTTCAAGATGTCTTTTAATTGAGGCAGTTATGCCTTCAGGTGACAGGAAATTTAGTGTAATAGTTAATAGTCTCTTATGTTTGTGCTGTATTTTCTTAGATCCGTTTGGAGGTGATCCTTTCAAAGGTTCAGATCCATTTGCATCTGACTGTTTCTTCAAGCAGTCTTCTACTGATCCTTTTGCCACTTCAAGTACTGACCCTTTCTGTGCAACCAGCGATAGCAGTAATACATCGGTAAGTGGGAGGGTGAAATGGATAACAAGTGTCCTAACTGAGTTTCTTGAAGTAAACAGTGATGGAAGAATCCTCTTTTAGATTACTTCTAATGGGCCATATAGAAATTTCGGCCTCCTGTGGCCCATCTAGATTTTGATTCAGACTGATGTTTCACAGTTGACTGGAATAACTTATCCAGAAAGCCAGCTCATCCTTCAGAAGACCAAATGTCTCATTGGTGAGATTTAAAATAAATTATTGGAAATCCGTAAATGAATCTTAAGTAAAGCTTTTCAGAAATGTTTCGTATGCCTTATTGAAATAATGAAAATAAATTTAAAAGGAACATCATTGATGTTTTAGAAAAATAAAATCATTTATTTTATAGACACATCTGGAATGTTAATCTTGTAAAAAAAGTACAAATTCCCACTAAATGTCAGACTCTCTTGCGAACATACATACTACAGCAATCACTATTAGATACTATGATCCAGGTACTTCTGTGTGTGTTTTACATTCATTCTTTCTAATCTACACATCAGCCTTGTGAGGTAGTAGGTATGCCATGCTGAGGCGGCATCTCACATAGCACAACCAGAAGGCCTACAACCAGAATATACAACTATGTCCTGGGGGGCTTTGGGGAGAAGAAGAAGAAGAAGAAAAAAGAAGGTTGACAACAGATGTTAGCTCAGGTGCCAATCTTTAAAAAAAAAAAAAAAAAAGACAAGAAAAAATACCATGGAGCTGCTTTTTGCCAGGTGGCCCCATCCTGCCTTGTCTGTTCGATTATGCCTGGGACTCTCCTTTCTGAGCCTGATGCTTCTTCCCACTCCCAGTCTGTGGGCTACCCTGTGTTCTTCCAATAAACTTCTTAAACAAAAGAATATTTCCTTGAAAGAGTAATCGATTCTTTAAAAGATAATAGATTTTGATATTCTTGAATTGCTTCCTTACTGTATTCGGTAAAAAGCTTCTTGGCCAACAACCGGTATTTTCCATTGATGTAAAACTGAGCAAATGCCTCTGTAACTGAATATTTGTGGTTTCCACAGGCTACTGGATACTGTGTTTTCCTACAACAGTTAGTTTTTAGTGTGGACCCATGTGCCAAATTCTTCTAAAATTCGCTGCAACCTGAATTCTTTTCCTCTAATTCTCTACTCTTATCATTTAAAGAACAAGAAAGCCAAAGCAGCTCTTCCTAATATAAAAATAAACAAGTTTCTCCTGTTCCTCTCCCCTGGTGAAGTTTTTCTGCCATCCTTTCTGCTTGCTTTTTCTCTTTTCTCCCCAGTTTTTGAAAGCAACGTCGCCGTTGCTGACAGCTCTAAATTTCTCCATTAAAAAGAAAACAAGCCATGCTGTGGCAGTGTTTCACATACAAAGTGGATGAAGATTGGCAGGGCTGCTAGCTCAGGGCCAATCTTCCTCATCAAAAAAATAAAACCAAATTCGCAATATAATAGCTACATTTATCTAATCTGTTCTCTGTGCCAGGCATGGTGCTAAGCTCTTTTCATGTGTTCCCTCATTTAGTCTTCACAGTAATTCTGTGAGGTTCATGTTGTTATCCTCATTTTGAGATAAAGTAGATGAGATTTCGGTTAAGTGGTAGTAAGTTAAGAAGTGGTAGAACTGGATTCAAACTCTGGTCTATCTGACCAAAATCTGAAGTCTTCACCACTCTAGTCTAGAGATTGAAATGTCATTCCTCCTGGCTGCAAAGCCTCTGTTTTTTATGATCATCTTTCTTTTCAAACAGGCCTCTGATTGTGCCTCCAGACATTAATCTCTGCCCAAAAGTCTTTCCTATTCCCTCAAGGCTGGTCTCTGCTCTCAGAGGGACATAATTTAAAAAACCAAACCAAATCAAAACAAACAACTGTCATTTCCTACTGTCCCCATTGTGTGGGTGCTGTCATTCCATCAAAGCAGGGAGTGGAGAGCTGATGTAGGAGAGAGAGAATTTCAGTGATAAATTAGGTAACCTTGTGGGAGGATTTTGAAACACAACTCTGTAAAATCATACCATCTGAATTTTAGTTATGAAAATTGTTTTTGTGTACTAAATTGCCTAATTATCAAACTGAAGAGAGTTTTGTGCCACTTACTCCTTTGTGAGCTGCACAGTTTTACCCTGTTCCCCTTCCTATCCCAGTGGCCTGTTTTTAGAGTAACCACCGTGTGTGATGAAGGAATAGTAATTAAACCTGACATGCACGTAGGCAAGCTTTTTCTCTTTCTTGCTGTAATGGCAAATAAAATCTGCAATCTATCATTAAAAGCCAGGCCTGGGGGCCGGCTCCATGGCCGAGTGGTTAAGTTCGCGCGCTCCACTGCGGCGGCCAAGGGTTGGATCCTGGGCACGGACATGGCACCACTCGTCAGGCCACGTTGAGGTGGCGTCCCACATCCCACAACTAGAAAGACCTGCAGCTAAGATACACAACTGTGTACAGGGAGGGTTTGGGGAGATAAAGCAGGAAAAAAATAAAAAAAAAAGATTGGCAGCAGTTGTTAGCCCAGGTGCCAATCTTAAAACAAACAAACAAACAAAAAAAAACAGGCCTGGTAGTTTTTCCTTCTCTTAAAGTTGAAAAGAAGCAGTAATACTTGGTGACTTAAGTTATCATGTTAGTGGCTGTCTCTCACACTGGTATTTTGACTGTTAGGAACTATGAAAAGTTACTTTGCTATACAGACCAGCTTAATTTTTTTTCTTCGATTGCTGTTTATTCATTCAGCTGATGTAATCAAGAGTATAAGATAGAGTGCTAGTTTTAGAATAATACATTGGCATTAGTTAAATACTATCATTTTCAGTTCTAAAAACTTCATTAGTATTAATTACTTCTTTCTGCTGGTAGTTTTAATGGATCCTCTTCTATAAAGAGAGAATATACTAGAAATCCTGGTTAGCATTACTTTTCTCTTTTCAAATACATTTGTTTTAATTAGAAATTTATAAATTGAGCTCTGCAGTATCCTTTGACATTGTAATATCCGCTTTCTTCATGATTACAAATAAAGCTTGTAATACCAGGGACATTGATAGCCATGAGTCAGAGTAGGAGATAAATATTCCAAACTCTTTTCACACCCAACTGTCTGCCGAGACTTTTGGCTGGCCTCTTAAAAAGTGCATTATGCCAGAAAGAGAAAGTTCGTCATCTTCCTAAATTACAATTTGTTTGACTCTGATTAAAAACTAAAGTAAAGTAGGAAGACAATTCAGTAGCAGGAATCTCTGGTGTGTGGTAAAGACCTCACTCTTTGTAGCCACTCACCCTTGCCACTCGGTCCAGATTTTTACATGGCTTGTTATTGAAAGTGGCGGGATCTTTTTAGCAGGAAGCACACTTGCATGCTTACCCTCGCTCACTCTCTGTCTCTCAGGCCTGTGTGTTTCCTTCAGGAGGCAGAATACTAGAATTATTTTTAGGTAACAATTAGAAAATGGAAATCTAGCATTTTCTTATGTAAGTACTAGGATATTTAAGAGTTAGAATAGTATGCTTCCTAAATGCAACATGCCATCCTGGAATAGGGAAAGGAGATTAATGGAAAAGCTGTTGAAATTCAAATAAAGTCTGTAGTTTATAGTTTTGTACCAGCGTTAATTCCTTAGTTTTAATAGATGTACCATGATTATATGAGACATTAACATTAGAGGAAGCTGGGTGAAGGGTATATGGGAACTTTCTGTATAATCTTTGCAACTGTTTCAGAAATCTAAAATATTTCAAAATAAAAAGTTAAAATAGTGTGTATCTATACAGGTAGCAAAATTATGAAGAAATGAATACCACCAGAGTCAGGATAGTAACTATCTGTACAGAGCAGAGATGAGTTGTGACTGGGGAGAGGCACATGAAGACTTCTGAGGTGTTGGCAGTTTCCTGGGAGATGATTACACGGATATTCACTTGATACTTATTTATTAAATTGTACATATATTTCATACTCTTTCCTGAATGGATGTTATATTTCACAAAAAGAGGATTGGAAAATGATATATATCTTTTTGATTTAATAAGATTGCAAATCAATAGTGGGGAACATTTGTTCCTGATGCCTTGTATTCCTTAATTAATTTAGAGTTTATAAATATTTTCTTTGGTGTGGCAGTGAGGCTTCAGCTATAAATTGCCTCTCTCAATCATGGTTCTGTGTAATTTGTTTAGGTAGAAACATTGAAGCACAATGATCCTTTTGCTCCTGGTGGAACAGTTGTTGTTGCAGCTAGTGATTCAGGTAAGGAAATAATTTATCAGTTTCTTTGGACAGTAAACATTACCCTTTTTTTAAAGCTTTTTTGCTCTCCAAATATATTTGTCCTATTTACTTACTTATAGCTTTAAAATTATCACACAGTTATATCCAATTTAATCTACTAGTAACAATAATGATAAATGTTTGTGTATCACTTTCTACTTATCATTCATTATCTCATTTATTGTTGATGTTAAATATCTTACTAGCATTTACTGTAGCCAATATCGGTAAAGCCAATAAAAGTATTTTTGCTTTATAAAAGGCAGTGTTGCTTAGCAATTTCAAAGTCAACATTGGCTCTTAAGGATCTTGGCCTAAGTTAAAAATTAGTGGCTTCCAGTAGGTAATGATAATAGTTTTACAAATAGTGGCTAGGTTTTCTTAATAATGCAGAGAAAAGCTAAATGTTATTCCAGCATCCAGTCTTCCTGCCTTATTTATGGTGTCTCATTTTCCATTTATTGTTTCAATATCCTTTTAAGTAATATTCCCATTTTAAAGATCAGGAAACTGAGGACCAGAACATTAAGTCATTTGATCAAGATTATACAGCTTACTAGATTTTAATCAGGTGAAGCCAAGATTCAAACCGAAGTCTGACAGAATCTAATGCTTTTTCGACTAAGTAATTCCGCTTGTTTCTCTCTGTTCATTTAAAAATTAAGCAAACAGGCCAGCTATTGTGTAGGAGAGCAGGGAGTTAGAGGAAAGTGGTCTCAAAACATGTAAATATCATGCTGAAAATAAGATGCTTTATTTTTCCACATGAAAATAGGGGTGAGTTATTCAGCACATAAATTTGCTGATTGTGGCAAATTGAGGATTATGAGCAAAAACAACAATTAGTAGAAGTGCCTTCACAATTTGGATTTCTTGTACAAATTGTAACAAGATGAGATTTAGCAGTGTGTGTGATTTGTTTTCAGGTTGAAAATTAGCTTCCTAAATGAATAGCAAGAAGGAATGTAAAAAGCAGATTTATAGAAAAGATTTAATGTAGTCCTGGGTATTGATTTAAACCAACATTTAGAATGGTAGCAAATAAGATTTCTAAAAGGCTTATTCTAGTAATAGTAGTTAAATTATATCTTTTTAAAATACATTTGCTGTTTTAGACTCTCATGCTTGAACTGATAAAATAATATATTGCCGGAGATATTGTATGATTAGAAGGGATAACCTAAGAGAATAAAATGAAAAGTTAATACATTTATGATGAACTCCTGATTGCCTACACTAAGGAATGACAAGTGCTTCGAGAATTCATTAAAGTTGCAAAAATTTAAAGGAAAGGGAGGTCACCTTTATTTGGGATAAATCATGAATGACTTCAAAGCAGAAGGTTGCTTTTGTGGTATGCCTTGAAAGAATGGGCTAGGATTTTTAATAAGTAGATATGGAAAGAGAATATGTAAAGCGAACAGAGTAGCATGAGCAAGGAATGGAGGCAGGACATGTAGGCATGTTCAAGAATACAACCAGGGGCCGGCCCCATGGCCGAGTGGTTCAGTTCGCGCGCTCCACTTCAGCGGCCCAGGGTTTCACCGGTTTGGATCCTGGGCGCAGACATGGCACCGCTCATCAGGCTGTGCTGAGGCGGCATCCCACATACCACAACTAAAATACATACAACTATGTACTGGGGGCATTGGGAAAAAAAAGGAAAAATAAAATCTTTAAAAAAAACCCAGACATGTTGATAAAGCTTGTTTATAGATAGAGAAATAGACAAGTTAAGGCTGAAGTGGTTGATTGCAGCCTTACTGTAGAAAGTTTCTATTGCCTTTGTTAGTCTTCTCTTTCAGTTCCAGTTCCCAGGTCATGTCCTATAAAGTGGTAGGATAAATGACTATAGTAGCCTGGGAGGGGGCTAAGATTTATTGTTGTTAATCATGATAATAATAGATGCCACTTATTGAGCAGTTGCATGGTTCCGGCACTCCATTTTCTCGTACATACTTGGTCTCATTTAGTTCTCACGGCAACTGCGTGAGATAATTGGTGTTATTGTACAGACAAGGAAATCAAGACATGGAGCGAGGAAGCTGTTTTACGAAGTTCAAGAAGTAGTGATAGATGGACCCACATCCGGATGCGGTCTTGATCTTCCACCAACCCCTTTGGCCATTCCTTGTGTCTCCTTTGCTGATACTTCTGCTTTTCGTCAACTTCTTTATGTTGTGTTGCTTTAAGTTTTAGACCCTGGACCTCTTTTTTTCTCGGTCTGTGCTCCCTCGGGGATCTCATTTGGTTTCGTGGCTTTACATACCATCTGTATGCTGATTTATGTCTCTAATCTCATCTTTTTCCTTAAAGTGATAGACTCAACTTTCTTTATTTTGGAGGAAATGTTGCCAAATACTCAAATCTGAATAACCCTTGTTTATCTGTCACTTTTTTCAAGTGGAAATGGCGTTCCATGAAAAAAGCAGCCAGTTCAACTTGTTTCTCAGATCATCATGCAAGTGCTCTTCCTCCAGATAACTGTCTGTTGGTACTCAGCAGAACTGCTTTATGCATATTTTGTTGCTCAGAATTTTAAAAAGATGTGTACCTAACGTCACAATTTATTAAAACTAATAATTTTTATTGATTCATCAAGGACCAACGTTCTTAGTTACAATTGGCCTTTTTCTCCCCCCTGCAAGTTTGTGATGGTGAAGAATTAGAGTGGCTACCAGCCAGGACAGTTTGGTGCCACCGCCTTGATTCCCCCTGAGGCATCAGCAGTTTTCCCCACCACTGGTTTTGCAAAATTGTTGCAGAGCTCAGGACTGTGAGAAAGATAAGTAACATCTTCATGTTCTGAAAATAGTTTTGACCTTACAGACTTCCCTGAAAGGGCCTTGGGACCTCTGGGGTCCGTGAACCACACTTTGAGAACTGCTCATCTAGTGTGTTCTAAAAGATTTTCCTGTTGCCCTGTGTTGTGCTGGTCTCTGTTGCCTCAGGATGGCTTGCTCCCAGGAGGTATCTGGGACAGATGTCTCCTTTTATTCAAAACAGGAGCAAGAGAATAATCTCAGTGTCCTGGAGAAAAGCTGAAGAGTAGAGGTTATCTTTTTAGTTTTGTATTTAGCCTGGTGCTTCTACTCTTCTCAGAATACTAACTTACTATGGTAGCATTGTCCAGTTCTGTGCCTTCAACGACAGCTTATTTCCTGATGACTCCAATTTAGTCCTCTAGTCCTGAATTCTCTTCTGAGCCTCCAGTACCTTCAAGTTACCTGCTGGATATTTCCTTTTAGGTGTCATGCTTAACAATGCTTAAAATTGAAGTAATCATCTTTTCTAATTAGTCTCTCCTTCAAAATATAGTATGAAAAAAACAAAAAGCAAGTCTTTACCTCCTCCTACGTTCTTTCTGTATTAATGACACTATTACTGACCTCGAGCCAATCATCCCTGACTTCTTCTCTGTCATTCCTCACCTCCAATAAATTGCCAAGTCCTGTTTTTTTAATCCCCAAATGGACTGTGTCTCTTCCTCCTTATGCTCAGCTTTGTTTCGGTCCTCATCATGTTTTACCCAGACTATGATACTAAATTGCCTCCAGTCTCTTTACCTCCCAGTCCATCATCTACATGACTGCCAGAGTTGTCTTTCTTAACATTTGATTGTTTTACTAACCACAAGTCTAAGTCACTAGCCTTGTGCTCCAGATATGTGTGTATGTGTGTATAATTTTTATTATCATTTATATATTATGTATATTATTTAGTCTATATTATTAATATATATTATTTATATTATATTATATGTGTGTGTGTGTGTGTGTGTGTGTGTGTGTATATATATATTTGTTTGCTGAGGAAGATTTGCCCTGAGCTAACATCCATGCCACTCTTGGCCTCTATTTTTTAGTATGTAAGCTGCCAGCACACCATGGCCACTAATAGAGTAGTGTAGGTCTGTGCCTGGAAACTGAACCTGGGCCGCCAAAGTGGAGTGCCTTGAACTTAACCACTAGGCCCTGGGGCTCGCCTGTATATGTATATACATTTGATGATCTTTTACATAATGTGTCACAGGTATATGTCTGAAAGTAAAGTTGTCCACCCTGTGAAATATAAAACCATACTAGACATCTTCTGGATGTCCCATCTCTGTTAATAGTACTACCATCGACTCAGTTGCCCAAGTAGAGACCTGGGAATCTTGGTTGTATCCCTACTCTTCTACCCTCAAGCTTCTGGGACATGGCAGACACTTAGCAATTCACTGCTGAAGAAATGAACCGATGATTTGTCTCAACGTCTGCCACATTGTCCTAAGACTTTGAATTGATTGCAAACATAAACAGTCTGCAGAGGGGAGGGGTTGTCGTGATTAGAACGTGGGTGCTTGAGTCTAACTGCCTGAACTTATTCAGATAAAGTTGTAGTTCCTTAGGTTTTCTTAGTCTCAGTTTCCTAAACTATAAAATGAGGTTGATAATTATACCTCATGGTTTGTTGTGTAGATTAAATGAGATAATGTATGTTAAAGTATTTATTGTGGTTCCTATCACAGTAAATGGTAGCTGCTATTATTATTACTACTACTACTACTTTTTAATTTAATGGTTTCCAAACACAAACTGTTACTTGTAGTATACTTTTTGTTAGTTCCAAGTGGAATAGGGACAATACAGAGAGAGATTTTTGTCTTGACTTTTGTAAAAGTTCTTTTTCCACTTCATTATAAATGAGATTAGTTCCAGTGTCAGAAAATTTTTTACATGGACTATTTTACTGACGCCTGACTCGGAAAGTGCACAATCTTTCCAGCTCTTAACCAAAGCTTTATAACATCCTGAGGATGTAGAAGGGAGCTCATGGCCTCCCCAGAGCATCTTTGACACCAGCAGTAGTAAAATACAAAGTAGGTCTTTGTTTTTATAGACAATGACTCAGGCTAAGCACATAGATGTTCATATATTTTACTGTTCTTAGCCTCTGCTTTCTTTCATGTTTTTTCTCTAATTTTCTCCATTTCCGCAAACCACAGACCATAACTGTCTCTTCAAGGCCACTTAACTTTTTTTTTTTTGGTGGGGGGGAAGATTAGCTCCAAGCTAACATCTGCTGCCAAACTTGCTCTTTTTGCTGAGGAAGACTGGCCCTGAGCTAACATCTGTGCCCATCTTCCTCTATTTTGTATGTTTGACGCCGCCACAGTTTAGCTTGATAGGTGGTGCATAGGTCCCTGCCCAGGACCCGGACTAGCGAACCCCAGGCCACTGAAGCAGAGTGCGCAAACTTAACTGCTGTGCCACCGAGCCAGTCCCACCACTTAACTGTTTGAATGAAAAAAATGTGTGTGCATGAGCAGGTGTGTATTTGTGTACAGTCATGCGTCACTTAACAAAGGGGCTATATTCTGAGAAATGCCTTATTAGGTCATTTTGTTGTGTGAACATCATAGAGTTTAGTTACACAAAACTAGATGGTATAGCCTACTACACACCTAGGCCACATGGTACTAATCTCATGGGACCACTGTCGTATACGCAGTCTGTCACTTACTGAAACATCATTATGTAGCTCATGACTGTATTTGTGTATAGTGTGTGTATGTCTCCCTCTTCTCCCACCTCCGTTCTGTCCACAAGTAAAAGAAAGTGAAACCTTTTTTGTGAAGACTTCTTTGCTTCTTCCTCATAAACCTAGGTGTTGCTTCTCCTTTGCTCTTTGAACCTTAACACTTACTGTGCACGTGTATATCCCTCAGTTAAATCAGGAGTTCCTTGGAGGTAGGTGTTGTGTCTTATTCCCCTCTAAATCCCCAGTACCTAGCCTTGGACATAATAGATGCTTAGTAAACCTGAGTGGATGAGTGGGTCAGTGAGTGAGTGAGTGAATTGGAGACCAGCTTGAGAAAGTGGATCGTTTATTGATGACCAACATCTACACCTCAGATTATCTATGAGTATCTCTTGAAAGTTTTCTGTGAGCTTGAGCTTGATTCTTATGGGTCATGAATGGGTCATTGGGGGCAAAAAAGATTTCTTCCTCCTCTCAGGATTCTTTGGTAGACAGCTGTTTTATGGAGATTATTTGTGAGCTTTAAAACTGGTTTCCCTTACTCCTTGTTGGTCAGGTGTTTGTGCTAGGAAATGTTATGATATCTTTTTGGAAGATCCTTAATAAATACACAGTTTCTGTCCTTTTTCTTTTAATGTTTTCCTTTTTTTTTCTTCTTCTTCTCCCCAAAGCCTCCCAGTACATAGTTGTATATTCTAGTTATACGTCCTTTTAGTTGTGCTATATGGGATGCTGCTTCAGCATGGCTTAATGAGCGGTGCTAGATCCCTGCCTGGGATCTGAACCAGCAAAACCCTGGGCCGCCAAAGCAGAGTATGCAAACTGAACCACTCAGTTATGGGGCCCGCCCCCATTTTTTTTGTGTGGTGGGGTTCTTTTTGGTTTTTTGGTTTTTTTTTTTAAATTTTTGGTGAGGAAAATTGGCCCTGAGCTAAAAATCTGTTGCGATTGTTGCTGAGCTCACATCTGTGCTAATCTTCCTCTATTTTATGTGGCATGCCACCGGAGCATGGCTTGACAAGCAGTGCTAGGTCTGTGCCCAGGATCCAAATCTGTGAACCCTGGGCTGCTCAAGTACAGCGTGTAAACTTAACCACTATGCCCCTGGACTAACCCCCAGCATTTTCAACAAGTTTGAGTGTCTCCTATTTGCCAGACCTTCTTCTAGGCCTTAAGCATACAGTAGTGAACGAAACAAAGTTCCTATCTTTATAGAGCTTATATGGGAAAGATAATTAAATATATAATATATCACATACTGATGAATGCTGTGAATTAAATCAGGGTAAAGAGGTAAAAAGTGGTATGCCTAAACTGTAGCTTTATCATTCACACCTCACAAAAAAGCATATCGGCATAGTATGATCTCAAATATGTGAGGGAAAAAAGCTGTTAAAGAAGTATGCTAAGATATTAATGAGGGTTATATCTGATATTGAGATTATAGATGATTTTTTTATTATGCTTTTATATATTTTTCCAAAACGTTCATTACCTTTGTTCTTGGGGAGAAGAGGGTGCTAACAAGGTCAGATTTGCATTTAAAGCCTTATTCTGCTGGCCCATAGCTCCCGTGAGCATCAAGAGGAAGAAAGCCACCTGCTGAGTTCCTCTCCAAGTGTTTCTGGAATTCCTCAGCAGGTGTCTCATACACAATCTGAACGAGTTCACACTCAGTCCTTCCAGTTTCTGGAAAGGCCTCTGTTTCATATCAACCATGATCAACATCTCAGAAAGTTCTTGCTGAGGTCTTTTTCCTCAATTTGGGGCAAAAGTGCTTTGTCATTCATCCAGGATACGTGCCCCAGTGTTTGGACCAGTGCAGAACAGGTCATTTATTCTGATGAAGGAAGTGTAGAAAAACTCCAGTAGGCAACGTGTAACATATTCTTCATATACGAATGTCATGTTTTTTATTAATTGCTTTCACAATATACACGTCACAATATTTCAGTCAAACCTCACCTAACTCAGTGTTATTGCCACACGTGTTATGACTTCTTGTAAAAGCTGTGGGACAACGGCAGAGAAAAAGCATGAAGCAGATTTTTAAGTCCCTCCAGTGAAATGAGCCGAAGTCCTTTTCCCTCATCACCCTGCTACCAATCAGGAGAGCGTGTGCACCCTGCTGAGGCTGTCCCTCAGCTGCTGCAGCTCGGGAATTACAGGTGGAGGAGGAGCAAGGAGGGAAAGCCTGACACAGCACCCGGGACGAGGCTGGGCCCCAGGCTGTGACTCAGCAGATATGTAGTAGTAAAACATCTTCTGTAGCTAAAGCTGCAGGATTTCTTGTAACTCTGGACTTTCACCCTCCCTCTCAGGTTCAGAGTTGTTGGTGTATCCCTAAAGGATTGATTTTTTTGTGTTTCTACCCACCCCCTTTTACCTGCTTCTCCCAACCTGTGGTTGTCTTGGTGACAACACAAACAAAAATAATATATATCTTCCTTCCTTCTTCTCTTTATGCCCATGGTCCATTTTTAGAGGTAAAGGCATACTTTACACATTAAATGTGTGGGTGGGCACACTTTTGTTCTAGAACGTTTGATACAAGGACAAAGAGTTGAAGAAGAGCAAGGACAATTTTTCTGTGCCTCTCCACTTGCTCTGTCTTACCCTGTCTTGCAGTTCTGTTTCTCCTCCTTCCTTTGTTTCTCTCTACTTTCTGACATCAAGCAGCAATTCCTATAAACATTCTTTGACTTCATTGATAGCCCTTATGCCTGAACAGGTGAAGCCTATCAAAGTAGAGCAGTTCATTCCAGCCGAAAATGTTAGTCCATTTGGTAAGTGCACTGTGATGGAACAGATAACTTCTCATGCCTGTGGAGCAGTGGTTAGATAATTGTTTTCACAATTACTGTTCCTTCTGCCTGAAATAGCTTTCTCTCCCCTACCTCCATCTATTTGGCAGACTCTATTCCTTATTCAAAAGACCTAGCTCAAATACAATAGCTTCTTTGATACTTTTCCTGATTCTCCCAGATAGTTAGTGATTCCTTTTACAGATTTTTCATACCTAATAGCTCATTTTAAGATTATTTTATTATTGTTTGTTTCATATCTCTCACTAGACTGTGAGCTTTTCAAGGGTAAGAACTATATCTTCTTTTCTTGGACTTGATACATAGTCAACAAATGTTTTTCGTCCTTTCATTCTTCATTGAATAAGCCTTATTCCCTGTTTTTAAGGACCTTACAACCAATAGGAGTGATATCAGTCACAGGTAGCTGTAGTTCAAACTAGAATGCGGTCAGTGCCACAGAGAAGGGAGAAATCACTTCTTGCTGTGGGAGCGAGACGCTCATGTCATTACAGGCTTTGTGGATGAGGTAGCATTTAAAATGGGCCTTGAAGGATGAGTGTGAAATGTGGAATTAGTGGTATCTTGCTTTTCTTTTACTTCTTAATGTCTTTATTGGAAATAGTTTTTTTAAAAAAAGAAATAGTTTAAGCACTTGGGAGCTGTATTATTTGACATTCATTCCAAAGGCTTAAACCCTTTACCTTGAGTTAGTTTACCTGCTTTTAATCTTAAATCATTAATCAATTGATTTATACAAAGGAATGTATCTTGTAGGGTATCAGTGTGCTTACTGTCTTTGTGGACTTAGATCATAAGTTGGGGAACTAATATTTGGGATTAGAAATTTTTCATCTGTCTGAATGTTACCAACTGAAAAGGACATGAAATTTGTTGTCTTTCTGTCACGTTGCATTGATTTTCTGTACTCATTTTAGCCACAGACCCCTTTGCTTCTGTTTTTGGAAGTGAATCATTTGAAGATGGATTTGCTGACTTCAGCACATTGTCAAAGGTAATCTGCAGTGACTAATGGGAAGGTAAAATATACTGTTTCCACCCAGCGGCAGTCCTTCCTTTCAATTCTATGACCCTCTCACAGACATTGCGACTTGATGCCAATGAGTCACAGCAAGTGTTGATTTTAGATAGAAATGGAAGCTAAGATGTAGTTTAAGTGGACATCTTTCTATACAAGAAGACAATGGTGATGGTACAGGTAATTAAATTTTCTACTGACAGGTTTGCTCAACAATTTCATTTTAAGAGTCTTCTGTCTTTTTTAAACACATTTCTTCCAGTTGAACTACATTTTTCCCCTGTTGACTGTCTGGGTCAATAGTTGGTAAAATCTGGTTATTCAGTCCATCTCCTCTGCATTGCCTATTTGATTTTATGTTCTGAGGCTGTTAGGGTTAGTATTAAGGTAATTTATACGTATAATCCAGTGCTATATGTCCAGTACCTATTTTCCAGTTTAGCTCTAGGATTGATTCAAGGCAAAAGAGTAAAATTAGAATATATGTCAAATTGTCCATATCACTAGTTCTCAACTGGGTGTATTACCACCCCACTCCCCACTCCCGCCCCCAAGAAACTTTTGACAATGTCTAGAAACATTTTTGGTTGTCACAACTCTGGAGAAGGACTATTCATATCTAGTGGATAGAAACCAGGGATGCTGTTACACATTCTACAATGCACTGTCCAGCCCCCCACAACATAGAATTATGTCTTCCTCAAAATGTCAGTAGTGCTGTTGTAGAGAAACACTGACCTAAATAGAGCTAAAATTGTAACATCTGATTCATTATAGAAAAATGAATCTTTCATTACTCCAGGTATTAGAAAGGCACGCTCCTCAGACTTGCATTAAGACTTAATCATTCCATGGGATCAGTGTACTTTAAAAAATTGACTTTTAAGTTGTTTTTAATGTTTTTCAAGATTCCATTTTCTTTGGCATTAGTATTAAATCTTTCCTATATTTCAGTGCATCGGGAAGTGTGAAATCAGTATTTTTTTCTTTGATTATTGTTTGGATTAGATATTCAGTGGGCCTCAGGTGGTTTTATATTGCCTGAAGCTTAACAAATCTTTAGTCCAGAGTTGGCTTGTTTCCATATGATCTGTTGCTCTTAATAAATAGTGATGTTATAATCACTATTCATATAGAACAATTTTTTTAAAAAAATTTTCCCTTTTGGCCATGAATGCAAAATAGCCCTGAAATGTCAGTACTCTAAGAATTTAAATAAATAAACCTGCATAATATTGAAGATCATTCTTGCAGATGCTATGTGACCATATCCAGTTTGGTTGGTGTAATGTATATAACCACGTATAAACATTTCTTTTCAAACACAGGTCAACAATGAAGATCCTTTTAGTTCAGCCACATCGAGCTCTGTCAGCACTGTGGTCGTTACAAAAAATGTGCTTGAGGAAACATCGGACAAAAGTGAAGATGTACCCCCAGCACTGCCGCCAAAGATCGGAACTCCAACAAGACCCTGCCCACCACCACCTGGTATGAGAGTTGATACCTTTCCTAAGTCAACTAGAGGCTTTTTTTCTTTCTGAAAAGTATTGTGTGGGCCTTGTTTATAGACTTAAATTAAGGGCCTAAACAAAACAAGTCAAAAAATATGGCAGAAGCCTGCTGCTGTCGTCTCTTCTGACCTCAGTACAGAATAACAGACATGTGCCTGAGAGGCCAGCATGTATAACTGTCATGAACTGCTTTTCTGGCAAGAGCTAATTGCTTTTTAAATTATTTTAGGGGGGCAATAAATGCAAAAAGGAAAGTATCGATGAAATCTCTTGCTTTTTGGAAGCTGATTGATTACCATTTGAACAACAGTTTCCTGCACTTTAATATTTTAATTAATTTCTATAAGAAGATTAATTCAAAGTCCCCTTCTTTTTCTGCCAAATGTGAAGTCTTCTTTAAATCCTTTAATGTGAGAATATCTGGTCTTTTTGGTATCCAGAATTCAGCAGTATAGTGCTTTAAAAGAAAGTATTATTTTTTCTTGAAGGAAAATGTTATTTTACCTCACTTAATAGGAGACTTCTTTATTTTATAAAAGTGATTTTTAGGTCCAGGAACAAATTCTTAATATTTTTGTTTTTTTGTTTTGTTTTTAGTGAAGATAATAAAGTTCATGATAAGTGGCTCAAAAGGCCATCCCCTGAGTGGTTGCAGTGCTGCTAGGCTGTTGTGTGAGGAGACACATCTGGGACATTGTTGTTTTAATCGTATGTCGTATCACCTTGGTAAATTTTTAGCCACGGTAGTTAGAGATGATTATTCTTGCCTTTTCATAGTCTCCCTGTGGTATTTCTAGGGCAGATTATCTTTTTCTTTTTTGACTTAAAGGATTACCTGTATAATTTTTAATACTCAATTGTCCGTTGAAAAGTCAGGTAAACAAGTGATTTATATCTTTTTAGGAAAAGTAGCATTTGTCATATGTATTGCTAGAGGGTAAGGTTGTCAGAATATATTAAAAAACAAATGAGTCAATTTGCTCATGTAAGTTTCACACTTGTAAGATGCAAATAGTGAGGTTATTTTTTAAATCCTAAGTAAAATAATATACTAGTGCTTTAACTAAATCTAAGAATCTTCAGCAAAGCAAGTATATATCACTAGAGAAATTCTAGATCAAGGAAAGAAGCATGGTTTGTTGGAGAGAGCACTGGACTGGGTGCTCTGGGTTCTAATTCTGAATATCTTCTGAGTAGCTCTGTGATTTTGAGTGTAATTTCGTATGTCTGAGCTATTTTCTAGAATTAGAAAAAATTCTAATTTTGCCTACCTTCAGAGGATTTTTTTAGGATCCATTGAGATATGAACATCTTTTGTAAGCTGCTACAGTGATGGAAAGAATCTCTTATTATGGTTGCTATTACCAGTGGAACACATTTTAGGAAATATATATATTTGAAGACATTTTAACATTCTTATCTTTTCTTCAAGAAGTGCTAAGTTTAAGACTTTAAAATTAGAGAATTTGTTTGAAAATGGTGATGAGTTAATGCTATTGTTTGGTCAAAGATCAGTTTATCAGCAGCCAAAAGATTTAGCCGCTGGGCTCCATACATTCTCTTTATTTCTTCAGTTTGAAATATTGTAGGTGGCAAAAGGTAGGTGGGGTTTGCCAAGGTAATTTTTAATTTCATGCTCCTAGGTGTGGTATATAGATCCAGAAAAAAATCTGAAGAATATTGGCATTTTCAAAGGTCATTTGCCCTTACTGCTACTAGTGGATGACTATCAGGCAGAGGTCATAACAGCAGAGACCATGTCAAGCTTTATTCTTTGTCATTCTTCTGTTTTATCCTTTTCTTTCTCCTGGGGAACATGCCGCTTTGGGGAAGAAAAGGTTTACTCTTAGGGCAAAAAATATGATTCCTGGCCCATTTCCTCCCCCTTTGCTATTTTTTCATTTAGCTACATAGAGCTAGAATGTGTTTGAGAGGTTGTGTCTGAAAAATTTGAGGTCAGACTGTTGGTGTGGCCGTTTAAGACCATATTAAGAATGTGTTTTGGGCACTCACCCGCATCCCTCACCCCCAGTTCTTTAACACTCCCTGTGTTCATCTTCTTGTGTGTTTGTGTTTGCCATGTTTGCTGATTGAGTTAATTGTAATGATTTTGATCCAGGGAAAAGACCCATCAACAAATTGGATTCTTCTGATCCCTTTAAACTGAATGATCCATTTCAGCCTTTCCCAGGCAATGATAGCCCCAAAGAAAAAGATCCTGATATGTTTTGCGATCCATTCACTTCTACTACTACCACTACCAGTAAAGAGGCTGACTCAAGCAATTTTGCTAACTTCAGTGCTGTAAGTACTGTGAGTGGGCTGTTTGGGGGAAAATCTTTCCATTTATGGTTTGAAGAGTTTTCAAAGATTACTTCAGAGTCTGCCAAATTTGCATCATTTCAACTAAATTTACCAACATACTAAAAACGATCTTTATTCTTCTCCCAACCAAAACTTCTGTTTGATTCTGTTTTGATGGTTATAAAATTACTCCATTGCACAAATGAGTTTAGTAGTCTTAGTTCTTGTGATATATACCAGTTGTTTTGCAAACTCTTCTCTTAGTCTTGGTACACAATATAAATAAAATCCTGAAAGTTAGTATTTTGCAAATTTTTATGGATGATGGGCCATTAGAGAGTCTTGCTGTCTGTCCACTGAATAAATATTGCCAGTAATGAGTGTGTGTATTTGTAACTGTGTATGTATGTTTGTGTATAAAACTTTGATGATTTCTGAAGATCAGTCAGCAGCTATTTTATGAGAGGATAGGGCCAGGGATCCTTTGAATAGAAAGTAAAACACTGGTTTTATATAATAGCATTTTTAAAATGTAAATGTCAGTTTTATGAAATAAATACAATTGTCAAGAGCTCAACAATCTGTAATTATTTGGAGGGCTCTGATTCATTAGCCTTCCGTATTTACCCTGCATTCTCCCAGAGCTGACTAAAGTAGACCAGTAAAAATGATGGAAGGATGCTGTGATAACGGCATTGGCAGGGCCTGGCCTATAAGATCACAGAAATGGGGCAACAAACTGTGGAGGCTGGGCAAGAAACTTGCACCACTCTGGAGGGACATAAAATAATGATATATAGTCCATCCTTATTCAGATAAAAACAACGCCTTTTTTTGTTGGGGGGGGGTGTGCGGGTGGCTGAGGAAGATTGGCCCTGAGCTAACATCCATGCCAATCTCCCTCTATTTTTTAGTATGTGGGCTGCCAGCACAGCATAGCTGCCAGCAGAGCCCTGGCCACTGAAGTGGGGCATGCTGAATTTAACCACTAAGCCACCAGGGCTGGCCCTAGGCTTTTTTTTAAAGATAGAATTCTTAGAGTAGATAACAAAGTTTCGTTTTCCCAGATTTTTTTTTTTTTTCAGGCAAAATGACCTTCATTATCACTGCCTATCCTATAACAAAGGAATTTCCCTCTACTTATCGCCTTAAGCTCTTGAAATGGTTTTGAAAATAGGAGACCTGGTGGCCAGGTGACCCTGAGTCTGCCTGATGTCTCCCTCAGTGTAGCATTGGGTCACACAGTCAGTCACTTTATCCCTGCGGCCATTTCCACTTAGAAAGGAGGGAGGCAGTAATCTGCATGCAACTAAGGCAGACAGAATTAGGCTGAGCTACCCACCTTTTGAGTCTGTACTCTTAAGTTCCAGTGCCTTTTAGTTCGAGTGGCTATTTTCTGAATGTGAAGGAACAGAATGGGAGTCAATATTTTGAATATTAGAAAATGGACTGTCAGAATTATACTGATTTAGTTTTTGTTAGATGGAATTTGAGTTGTTTTGAGCAGAGAATCCAGAATTGCTCTTTTTAGGAGATTTTAATCCTCTTAATATAAAATAACCTCTGGCAGTTTGTGGTATTTAATATGCTAAATATGATTTCAGCAAGTCAAAACCTGGTTGGAATGAGTCTTGAACAATAGCTGAGGTACTTTTGCTTATTTCATACTCCAAAATCACAATGTAGTATAATATAAAACAGGTCATAATAAGAATGTCTTCTTGGGCCTGGTGGCGCAGTGGTTAAGTTCGCACGTTCCGCTTCTCGGCGGCCCAGGGTTCGCCGGTTTGGATCCCGGGTGCAGACATGGCACTGCTTGGCAAGCCATGCTGTGGTAGGCGTCCCACATAGAAAGTGGAGGAACATGGTCACGGATGTTAACTCAGGGCCAGCCTTCCCCAGCAAAAAGAGGAGGATTGGGAGCAGATGTTAGCTCAGGGCTAATCTTTCTCAAAAAAGAAAGAAAAAGAATGTCTTCCTTTTTTCATTATGAAAGATTTGTTAAATATTATAATTTCAAAGGCCGTCTAATTCCCTAGGAAAAAAGCTACCATTTCAAAAAGCCTGACAGTTTCTTTCATTTCATCCTGTTATGGTATTCCTCTATATGACAGGACTTGAAACCAAGTAGAATTTTTTTATTTAGTATCTACCAAGGTTGCCGTTTGGAGTGGATAAAAATATTTCCCTGACCTAATAATTACCCGTGTTGAGGTTTTATTTAAACTGTGTTGAAAAGTTCTCAATGCCTGCCACAGTCTTTATAATGCATTTTTAAAAAAATGATTTGATACACGTCTTGCTTGGTATATTAGTATACCCAGTATTCCTATTTTATATATAGCAAAATAAGCATATTCTTTTTCCTGTACCTGGAGGGCTAGGATAAGGTAGGAAATCACCATGAGGTTTAGTTGAAAATGATTTCTCATGTGAGGATGCTGACTAAAGTAGTAAATGTTTTGCATTAGATAAAGAGGCTAGCCCTCTCTTGTTTTTTAAATCTCCTAATTCACCTTAAGTATTTTTACTTTGTTTTGTGTGTGTGTGAGGAAAATTGTCACTGAGCTAACATCTGTGCCAGTGTTGTCCTGTTTTATGGGGGATGATGCCACAGCGTGGCCTGACAAGTGGTGCTAGGTTTGAGCCCAGGATCCGAACCTACGAACCCCGGGCTGCTGAAGCGCAGCACGTGAGCTAAACCGCTACACCACTGGTTGGCCCCCTTCTACTTTTTTTAAATAATATTTTAATATTTAGCTTTATAGATTTTCTGTATGTCGACTACATTAATTTTTAAACCATGTTTTAATAACTAGTAAAGCTGTGTTTTCAGAAAAAAATTTTAACAAGTAGCAAATAAGACTGTTCTCAGAGTTCTTCATGTGAAACAAGTTGTTAATGTCCTTTTGTAAAAGGTATTTTTCCTTCTTTCTCTTTGTTTTACTCATTAATTTGTTCATTAATTCGTCCATTTGTCTTTTAAATGGCAGTATCCCTCTGAGGAAGATATGATTGAATGGGCCAAAAGGGAAAGTGAGAGAGAGGAGGAACAGAGGCTTGCCCGGCTGAATCAGCAAGAGCAGGAAGACTTAGAACTGGCTATTGCACTCAGCAAATCTGAGATATCGGAAGCGTGAAGAGTTCTCCCGTCCTTTGTCAGCCACATAGTACTCTTCTGAATACTGAAGCTATTTACAGTGTATATCAAAACTACCTATGAGCATGGGAATACAAAAGGTTTGAGATTCCTGTAAATGTGACAAAAGTTTGGTTTTTTGTTTTTACTCCATTTAAGATTTGTCTTTTTTTTTTCCTTGTAAAAGCAGTAACCCAGTCATACTCCACGTAGGCCCCTCGTTCTTGTGTGCATTTACTGTGAGCTTCTGCCTGCCTATGCTACTTTTACCTGTAAAGCTAGAGCACTCAGCTTCTGCCTTCTGGAATATAGAGAAATAGTTTCAGACGCTTAGCCGTGTTCTGTAGTTACTCTGATGATAGCCAGTGGGGTTCTTAAAGTTTGCAGTATTCTCCCTATTTGAATGGTTGAGGGAGGGGAAGGGAAAGAGCATCCTGTTTCTTTTATGATAGTGCAAATTGGCCAGTTTAAAGTGCTTGTTTGTATTTCCTTATAATCAAAATGTTGTTCAATTTTTTTTATAGACAAAGAAAAGTATTTTGCATAAATTGAAAAGATATAATTTAGATTGAACCATTATAGCTTTAGATTCAATCTTTTCCTAAATAAAAACGTTAAAGCCTCATGTGTGAAATATATTTAAAAAAAAATTCTCTGGATTTAAAGAATTTTAGATAAACAGATACCTCTCCGTAATTTTAAGTGCTAGACAGTGGAGAAAATTTATCACCTGAAATATAGCCATGGGTATAAGGTAGACAAAAATCTTAACATGGCAGCCATTCAGCCACTGCTCTGGCACTGTCCTCTTTAGTTGATGGTAAGTTTATTTTTGTACTTTTGCAGAAGAAACTTTGGCAAGCTAGAACTGGAAGGTACTTTAATTTTTTGTATATATATTTTTTGTTTAATGAAGGCTCTATTACTTGAAATGTAAAAACTCACTGAATACAAATGAAAAAAGTGACATGTATTAAATCATATTATTGCTTTTTGTCCATCGTTGTGGTTTAAAATAGTTTATTCTCTTCATGTTTTTCACCGATAAAATTGGCAGGCTAACAAGAAAAATCTTGTTTTTTTAATTGGAAGAGAAGGGACTTGTCACCTTATCCAAGCTCTTCGTGTGTTAAAAACCTGTCTCCTGTAAAACTGACCTAGCAGACAACCTGAATTTGAAATAGACTGTGAAGAAGGCTATAAATTGTAGAGTAATCTTAATTTTTTTTAACATAAGTTACTGACTTAGATAATGTGTTAAATACTCTATAAAGAAAAATGCACCTAAAAACCAATTAAAAGTCTTTGTGGTCACCAGGTCAAGGTGGTATTGATCTGTGTTAATCAGAGTAACTTATTGCCTCGCCTATGAATAAATTCCAAAATATCCGATTCATTTCATCTTGGAATGGTGCTTTTTCCTCTCCACACACAATTGGACTGCTGCAGTGCAAAACAAACTTAAACCACTTTCTTGCACTGCTGACTTTTTTCTACTTTTATAAATCGAAACATTTCAGCATGAAAGTCACACATATGAAGCAAGGGCTGAACTATAATCTCAAGGCTTTAATTTTGATAAACTAATTCAGTGACCTACAGATATGTTGGAAAAGTTGATTGAGAAGGTAGTGTTGGGAGCTGTGATAGGTAGTGGTTTTTGGGTTTTTTTCTTCCCCTTACACTTCAGGAAAAAGGTAAGTTGACTTGAACAACCTTCGTTTGCACTGGGAAAATGAACAGATGTTTGAAATGCTTTTAAAATATTTTTTTTAATTAAAAAAACACTCTGGAAAGAACTAAATATCTGTAACTTATAAACACTGACTTTCAATGTAATAAATGTACCCTAATCTTATGTGTGTTTAACTGGATTACATAGATTCTTATCTTTTGTTAAAATACGTATACTCAGTGGACCAATATAATGTTAAAGTATGTATATATTATATAAATATATATGTATCCATATCTCCATGCTCATTTGTGTAGGATGAATGTCTTGGAGTCGTTTGTGGTTATATTTTACATTGTTGACTCTGGCTCCAGAGCCTGTGCTTGAAAAGGACAGATGAGTATTCCTGAGAGCGAGGTGGCACTACTCATGAAGTTTTAACCCTCTTCTACATATTTGTTCAGGTTTATCTGGGCTCTCTTTATAGAATTTTCTCGTATGTTTCAAACTTCTAAATTGTAGCCTGTAATTATGAGAACAATAAACTTAAGTAAGAATAAAGCATACTATCCAGACATCCTATTTGAAATGGCGTTTTACACGGCTCTCTGTTACATCCATGCTGTGTCCGAGGACGGGCAGGTATGCAATCAGCACAGATTAGTATGTGTAAAGTCCTCGAGACAGTACCTGGTATGGAATAAATAATAAATGTTAACTATTATTTTTAGTTATCATGTCCTGTTTTTGTGAAAGAGAGATAGGAAATGTGTGTGCCTAGAGACATTGCCTGAAACATAGGTGGCTTCATATCTATGAATGAGGATTTGTGACATGGACTTTAGGAGGGCACTGAGGTGTAAAAAATTCATACAATCCTGGGTTTGAATTCCTGGCCTACCTTTTTTTTTTTTTTTTTAAGATTTTATTTTTCCTTTTTCTCCCCAAATCCCCCCAGCGCATAGTTATGTACTTTTAGTTGTGGGTCTTTCTAGTTGTGGCATGTGGGACACCGCCTCAGCATGGCCTGATGAGCAGGGCCTTGTCCGCACCCAGGATCGGAACCGGTGAAACCCTGGACCTTGGAGCTTGAGAACTTAACCACTTGGCCATGGGCCCGGCCCCTGGTCTACCATTTTTGAGAAAGTTATTTAGCCTCCTAGAGCCTCATTTTCCTCATCGAATGACCATCCTAACACCTAACTCACAGGATTGTTCTGAAGGATTGGACTTTGACAGCTTTTTAATATTATTTACTTTAATTAAACAAATTCAGCCATACTATTACTAATAGTGGAAATAGCTGTAGGTTATTGAACGCGTATTATGTGTGAAGTGCTGCATTAAGCACTTTTTGTGTGTTTCCTCGTTTAATCTTCACAGCAGCCCCAAGTGGTATTATTATCCTCTACTATTTTAGAAGTGGAGAAACTGTGGCTTAAAAAGGTCAAAATAATGTGCTTCAGATCGTGTAGCTATTAAGTAGATGAGCCAGGAATTGAACTGTGGTCTCTCTGACTCTAAAACATGATACTCTTTCCAGTTTACTGTGCTTTCTCTCATTTTGTGTGAAAAAATTTGCTTATAGGAAATGCTAGGGACAGGACATGAGAAATAATAACAAGGAACGTATGTTAAGCTTCAGGCAGGATCCTTTAATGCTTTGCACATCTTAGTTCATTTAATCCTCACAACAAGGGTAACTGTAATGTATAGGTACTATTACTGTCTCCCTTTTACAGAAGAGGTATCCTAACCTAATAGGCACAGAAAAGGCCACAGTTAAGCAGCTGGTAAGTGGCGGAGCTGGAATTTGAACCCAGGAGACTGGCTCTTAGAATTTTAACCACTATTCTTTATTCCTGATAAAGGTGAGAAGCCAGAGGAGAAATGCCGTAAGTAGAATAATCCTTGTAATCTCTGCTCTTGAGAATTAATGAAATAGACCTACTATGTAGCACATGGCATCTTGTAAAACACTTGCCAATTCATTCTTCTATTTAGTCCTTATCAGGATTTAGACTAGTTTCTGATACATGAAAGCACTCAACCATTGTTATTAACATTACCATAAGTGATAAATAAGTATCTAGGGGAGATGGCCAACCTTGCTTTTATTAAAGAAATAGAAATTTTAAAACCGCAAAGCTAGCAAAAATGAAAAATAATTTATCAGTGCTGGCAAAGCTGCGGAAAGAAGACATAAGAAGGTAGGCAAAGACTAGGTTTTGAAGCGTTTGCCACACAGCGCAAGGCATTCTAGGCAGAGGCCACGGTTGTGTATAAAGACAAGGAGTGGGACGTCGTATAGTGTGCTAGCAAGCAGCAAGGATTGAAGCAGTCCACTGTGACTACAGTTGAGGTTTGTGGTGAAGAGTGAAGTTTTTGTGTTTGAGTGTAAGAAAAGATCGCGTTGGTGGTGAGACAGAGGACTGCCTTAGGAGGCAACCAGGGAAGGCAAGGAAAGCAGGTGAAGGCTGTTGGAGTCATTCAGGTGAGATGGTATGGACCTAATCTGGCTGAGGCCTGAGAGAAGGGGAGCAAGTTAGGAGAACTGACTGGCCCTACAGTCTGATGACCATAGGTGGTGAGGGGAAAGGAGTGGTTCGCAAACTTTAGCAAGCATCAGGAGCTCCTGGAGGACTTGTTAAACCACAGATTGTGGGCCTCACCCCCAGAGTTTCTGATTTCAGTATGTCTGGAGCGGGACCCAAGGATTTGAATTTCTAACAGGTTCCAGGATGATGCTAAAGTTGCTGGCCCAGGGAACTCCCTTTGAGAACCACTGAAGTAGAGGCTAACTTCCAAGTCCCTTCGTTCTCCTGCAAGTCTTATTAAATCTACTCATTTAGGTTGCAATGCTATTGCACCCTGTCATTCTATACTTGACCTGTGGATTCTGCTTCAATAGTGTAATGCACCTCCAGTCTTTCTTGTGGATAGAGAGAGTTTCAAAAAATAATAATTGCAAGCTAACAGCTAACACTTACTATGTGCTGGTACTATTTGAGACACTTTATATATACTGATTCATTTTATTTATTTTCAAGATTGGCACCTGAGCTAACATCTGTTGCCAGTCTTCCTTTTCTTCTTCTTCTTCTTCTCCCCAAAGCCCCCCAGTGCATAGTTGTATAGTCTAGTTTTAGGTCCTTCTGGCTCTGCTATGTGGGACGCTGCCTCATCATGGCTTCATGAGCAGTGCTAGGTCCGCCCTCAGGATCCAAACTGGCAAAACTCTGGGCCACCGAAGCAGAGGGTGCAAACTTAACCACTTGGCCATGGGGCCGGTCCCTCTACTGATTCATTTTAATCTCCAAGCAAACCTGTAAGTACTGTTATTCCCAGTTTAAAGATCAGAAAGCTGAGGTACCAAAAGGTTAAATACCTTGCCCAAGATCACAGAGCTAAAAAGTGCCAGAGCTAAGATTCACACCTAGACAGTCTGGCTTCGCAGTCCATGCTCCATCACTCTGCCCTCCCGAAGAAAACTTACATTACAATACTTTTGATGCATGGATCTGTAGTGTACCTCTTACTGCCAGAAAGACCTATATTGTGTGCTTTAGAAATGCCCAGTGAGAAAACCATTGTCATTCCATTCACCTTTGTTAAGGTGTATTGTATTTTGGGTACTGTGCTGGGCCAAGGACAGAGAAGACTCCTGTGAGGGCCTTGCCATCAGTGGCATAATAGGGGAGATATCTACTTACAGTTAGTGTCACAGCATTGCATATTGAGGATTATGATAGGAATGCTGAGCTACCCATAGGAAAGAGAGTAATTCTAGCCGAGAGGATTGAGGAAGGCTTCCCAGAGGAGGTGTCCCTGGGACACAGTGTTCTTACATGGTGACTGTTGAAATAAATAAAGCACAGTTCTCACAACGCCATATTATTTGATGTCAGGGTTGTGTGGACTGGGAAAGACAGTCTCCCAGGAGGCCTCATTTAAGGGCATTCATTACTTTAGTGAATTCAACCTGGTCCAAGGTCTGACCTTCAAGTTTAGAAACCTGATTTTCATCAGTAAAACAGAGCTTCCATTAAGCAAGTTCACGGGCACTGATGTAGAGACCAGAATATCACTTTGCAGTAAAAGTTGCCACAGCGTTTGGAGTGCCCACAATTTGTTGAACAGGATTCCTTTTCCCTTGTTGGTGCCCGGATGCCTCCTGCCTCTGAGGCTTCTCCCTCTCTGTAGCCGGAGCTGCCTGGGCCCCTCTGAAGAACACATGTTTTAGATTAATATGTTTAATCAGGCTACAGTGTGGTTTGGCTGGTTGGGTTAGCTACAATGTCTCTTTGGGGTGACTTCGCATATCTTTGCTCTCATTCATTGTATGTGGGCTCTATAATAGAGTTTAACTCCTCCTAAGGCAAATTTTCCCCAGTTTCTGAGTTCTTAGTGAAACATCTCGGCCCCTGGGCTCTGACTCCACCCTTTTGTTGATCTTATTTATTGAGTGTATATGTGCAGGCCGTCTCCCTGACCCATCCTCCTCTTAAACCATCACCAGTGTCCTAACAATTCTGCCTTTTCCTATCTCTCAAATCTGTCCTCTCCATCCCCAGAGCCACTGCCCCAGTTCACGTCTTCATCTTCTCTCTTTTGGGCTTTTGCCAGTCTCCTAATGTCCTTGCCACCAATCTCTGTCTTTCTCTCTGCCTCCAAACCATCCTCCATGCTGCAATCAGATTCTTCTAGAATTGGAATCTGCCCCCATCACTCCTCCAGTGAAACATGCCACTGATTCCCGTCCTGTTAAAATTCTAACCCCTTAGAAGGTGTTTCCTTTGTAATCTTAATTTCTTACTGGCATTTAATCAGTAATGGCTTGAACATATAAGCTGGTTTTTCCCCTTTAAAGAAAATCTTGAGAAAATGCTACTTGAAGGAAATAAATGTACCTCTAATCTGATTGTAGAGTATGGAATACTTTCAAAATGTGCATAATTTTACCCTCTAACTTGATGTTTTTCAGACAACAGGTTGTAATACATTAGTTGGGTTGTGAAATCAGTTTAGTGAATCGAGCAGATGGAAAATGTAAGTGGAGAGGTATAGTAGAATGAACTCCCATGCACCAATAATCAGCTTCAGTGATTACCAATTTACATTGTCTTAGTTTATCTATTTTCCTCCCCACTTCCTCTCATGTTATTTTGCAGCAAATCTTATACTTCATTTGTAAACTTTTTAGTATGTTAATGAGCCATATTTAAAAAATTATGAAATAGAATTTGTTATTGAATATATACTGGGTCACGAGATAAAATGTTTGAAAGCCAGTGATTTTTAAACATTGCTTTTCTTTTTTTGATGAAGATTAGCCCTGAGCTAACATCTGTTGCCAATCCTCCTCTTTTTGCTGAGGAAGACTGGCCCTGAGCTAACATCCTTGCCCATCTTCCTCTACTTTATATGTGGGATGCCTACCACAGCATGGCTTGATGAGCAGTGCCATGTCCTCACCCAGGATCCAAACCAGTGAACCCCGGGCCGCTGAAGCAGAACGTGCGCACTTAACCGCTGCACCACCGGGCTGGCACCTAAACATCTCTTTGCAAGTAAGAAATGTA